CCCCCCCCCCACCCTTAACCTCATCATCTTCCCTTTCCCCATGCCAACATGCCACCAAATTACTACAATATGCTTGCTGAGTTCATAAACAATCTTTAGAAAATGGTTTTCTCATAACTTAATTCATATTTAGATCATAATCACACCAAATTGACCCACATGGATAAATATATTTATATGTATGGTCAATTTTACAATAATTAAACACACTAGGCATCACTCTCCTTTCTCGAAGCACTTTTCACTTTCTTCGATATAAAAGGTGCAAATTCTAAACCCCACATATTAGTACTTAAAAAAGAAGCTTGCATTGCGACGACTTAAGCAAGAATCTAGGACCATGGCTTTTCTTTGTGGAGGGTCGTTGTTTATGCTTACCAAACAATGTGGTAGGGTTTGAGACAGCAAATATGAATTATGAACTTTAAGATCGACCCTTTACTCATAAGTAGTACGAACAAAAATGCTAATCATAGCGTATTTATATACCATATTTCTAATACAAGTGAGTGGCATGCAAATGTCAGGACTTTGCCATTATTAATTCTCATTGGGCCTATTTCATATATCTTCTTCTTCGTACCAACGGTCAACATAGATTGGCCCAATTTTAGGGTTTCCAAGCAATTGCTGGCATTCCGAAATTGATTAACTAAAAAAATGAAAAGAGAATTGCAAACCAACTTGCATTTCGTTTTTCACAAGCTCCCCTTTAATTGCATCGAGTGTATAATATTGTGAAGACCCCGGTTCACATGCATCGTAATGGGGACTGTTAAACCACAATTATCCGTTCCACGTACACGTGAGTGACAACAAGGTTGACTCAATCTTGGGCTCTGATCATGATAAAGATAAGGTTGCTAATTACAAGAGAAGTATATTAATCATAAATGTTAATAAAATTAGTGTTGGTAGCAACACCAAAGCAAGCAGATTTCGTGCTTGTGGGGTCTTAGTTTATTCAATCCCAAAGCCAACCATGTGAAAGAACATTCTTTCTGAGTTGGTGACACAAACTCTCATTCCTCTGCCATTTCCATCCTCAAATCACATATCTATATATTTTCTCTCCCTCTCTTTTTCAGTTAATAATCTAAATTCCTCCAAAAGAAGTAGAAATTTCCAAAATACAGCTAAGAAACAAACTCATCATCCCTTTCGAATTATTCTAGTTTTATTATTTTTTTAAAAACAAATGTTTAAATAAGGGGGGAACATATTAAATGGGAACTTGGGGACATGTTGAGTGTATGTTTTGACATATTATATATTATAGGTTGGAAATGAAACTGTGTGACTAAATTTATGATAATGTTTGATGACAGTCCATGACCGTCCATTTGGAATAAAGATGAAGCCAAGTGTATGGCCCATGTGATATATGCAGCTTAGGTGTGTGAATTTATTCTAAATGTTCGGTTGGGAGGGAGTTTATATTAAGTGCCATGTAAAATGATTATCGATTACAAGGCAAGACAATGCTTAACCTTGCCCTACTTAACCCTGTTTCCAAGGACCAGATGCTACTCTACAACTACAACCCCCCCATATTGCCACATATTTTTCGAGTTCGGGTTGTCAACGGTTGTTTCTACCAATCAAGTGAAACTCAACAAGCTGATTCTTTTCGGAAAAGAATTGAGTCAATTGTTGTTTTTGCCCCAAGGAACAGGTGATGGTCCAATTTCATTATCCATCCGTGTTCCCTTTTTTTGTTTTCGTAGTCGGAGGCCCATTGATTCCGTCAGTTGTTACAAATGAAAGCCCAAAGTGTGGGCCTCCTTTAAGAGTAAACTACGATCGTGCTCTCGTAATCACATGACTTTGGGCTAACTAGACTTTTTGTTCAAGCGTATCTGCGAACATAATAAAACAAAAACAAACAGTTATCAGAAAATGAAAGATATCAAAACGACAGCTGGGCTATAAATATTGGTCTAGACTAGAGGGCTTTTCTTTTCCCCATGAAAATCTTATTGGGGTTGTTTCTAACCCATCATTAACATTTTGGGTTGTTTCTTGGACTGAACCCATGGTCACATTTTGAGGTCTCAAAGTTTGACTTGACTGCTTAAAGATTGAAGCAATTTCAAAATGGGGTTTGAAATCATTGCTAGGCGAAAGTGGCGAACATGCTAACACAAACCAACATTGAAACATTAACAAGTCAGTGTTTTGTGTCCCAACCCAACACCTTGT